TATGTGTGTGTGTGTATACGCGCGTGTGTGTGGCTCTGCGTTTGTGTGTGTGTGTAAATATTTGCACATATGTGGCAACACGGTCGAGATCTGTGTTTGAAATATTATGGATTAGCCAGTGACCGTAATAGTCGCGCTTTAGGTCCCATAGTGCGTGGTTTGCACGTTCTCTAAAAGTTGACATGATTCGATACTGGGGGTCCACGGCCAGATCTTCACATATATATCATGAAGAGTACGATACGACGCTACGAATATAAAAACCATTCATTCAATTATTCACAGGAAGAGCATGACAGATATAGCGGCAAGTGACGCCGCTCTGGTAAATGAGCGATTGGAAATTGAAGGTATTTTTGATGTCTTTTTCGTTGATAGCGCACGCATTGATTTAAACACAGTCTTGTCGGCTCATCTTGTTCGCTAAGATATCAATAGCGCCTTTGTACCTGCCGTCATTCAATCAAACAAGCTCCGTCATTCAACCTAATAAGTTCCGTCAGTCAACCAAATAAGTTTTGTCATTCAACCAAGTAAGTTCCGTCTACGTTTCTATTTAACTTTCAGTATCAAATCCAAAGGTCGATGTGGGCGCACACAAAGGTGGCACAGATGTTTCTCACATCGCTGCTGAACCCAAGGTGAGCTCTACAGGCTTTTTTTCTATTGTTATCTTTGCTGTTCTTCGTACGCGTGTTGTATATTGCTGACTCTCATATCTCTTATCCTTGTCATCTTAGAAACTTACCAAAAAGGAGCAGGCAGCCAGGAGGAAAGAGGAAGCAGAAAGGTGTTTCCAAAAGCAAAGGGCTTTATTTTCGGAGATAGACAAACACGAGTTACACTACGGGTGAGTATCGATACAAGTACAACAACCTGACCACTCTTGACCAGCTCTAACCCTGGTTATACACAAACGGCACGTTCGGCATTTAATCAGTTCGTCAGTTTGTCCATACTGATGTACGCGGAGTAGCTCGAATACGCCTAATTATTCCAGGCCTTACAGATCTGAGTTGCGCCAGAGAATCAAGCTACAAGCTAAGATTCGCCACAAGAGAGTGGGCTCGCCTCTCCACATGCTAAATTTCATCAGCATGCCATCAGCATACCAATAGCAATATCATTCGGTTAATGGCGAAGCCAACGATTACAGGTGAGCAGCATGTGTTCCTCTTGTTGAGAGGCTATAATAATGCAATAGAAGCACGATTCCACCCGACACCACTTCTGAATAGCTATCAACTGGTAGGGAGAATGGCCGTTAGAATGGAAACTACTCATGCCTTGTGAATCTGCGTGGCGCTAGCCAACCGTTTAAATTACGGTCTTGTAGTTGAATTTGGTTCTGATTGCCAAACATTAACGAGTTCTTCCGGAAATAGCGATGCAATGTCGTACTGAATTAAAATTTTCCTCTCCGCTCCGCTTCAGGATGTCTCCTTTGCTTTGTGTCATTGGCTGTTTTTTAAATTTTTATATTATTATATTATATTAGATATATATATA